TGTTGACTACGGTGAAGGTATGGCTTTCATAGCAATTCTCCATGAAAGATCTTGGAGAAGCCTCCTATATACTAGGTCTTCGACTCTATAAAGATAGATCGAAGCGGATAATAGGATTATCCCAATCTTCTTACATTGATAAAATAGTTAAAAGATATAGCATGGAAAACTCCAAGAATGGAAATGTTCCTTTCAGGCACGGAGTCACTCTCTCCAAGAAGATGTCTCCCAAGACTTCTGGGGAGATTGATGGCATGAAAGACGATCCCTATGCCTCTGCCATAGAAAGCATCATGTATGCCATGCTGTGCACTCGTCCTGACATTGCTCAGGCAGTGAGTGTAGTAACTGGATTTCAGGCCAACCCAGGGCAGGAGCACTGGTCTGTTGTGAAAAACATACTTAAGTACCTTCGAAGGACAAAAGAGTTTTGTCTAGTATTCGACGGTAGCTCACTATAGATCCAAAGGTGTACGGATGTCGATTTCCAGTCGGATCCAGATGATAGAAAGTCTACATCTRGATATGTTTTCACGATAGGATCATGTGCTGTTTCTTGAATGTCAGCAAACAAGGGTCCTGAGTAGCAAATTAACAGTCCACAACCCTAGCCGAGCGCACTACCGTAAGTGAGGCTACCTTATGAATGTAGGTGTTCATTCCGGAATTTGGAATTCAGCACATCACCCATTCCACTGTTGTATGACAACACTGGACCTACGGGCGGATGATGTTAAGAGGTAGCATCAGCAAAGAATGTGGTACACCCATTGACTAAGCCACTGATACAAAAAGTGTTTATAAAACAAATGGAAAGTCTGGGACTCTGGCTTGTACCTAATTGAACCTAAGTGCAAGTGGGAGCTGTTAGACAATTTTGTATGCCCTTAGCTTCAATTAGAATGATGTACACTATGAGTTTATTGTAAATGAATAAAAGTACATATTTGATTCATGATCCCTTGGTATGTTTCTGTGTAATACCCTTAAACTGGACACTTAATGAGACTCGTGTTAATTTAGAATGTTAACAGCCAGTGGGTCGGTCTGGGGAAACCTATCCTGATAAGGCTGACAGTGTTGTGCCACCAAGTCGGTTGGGGTGGCCTGTCTCAGCTGTCAGGGTGAGACCCTAGGCGCAAACAGTGTAGGATTAATTGAATATTTGAACTGGACCAGATTTCTAGTATTGCCCTAGACCTTGGAGATTGA